CTAGGGGGTGCACTAGGTGGGATGGGTATTAGAGAGAGTTGGAGACGGGGCCAATTAGGCATATGATCAGGCTCAATTGGGTCATCATCATCATAGTGAGCAGAGCGCAAGAAGGAGCGCCTGTGGATACGGAAAGTGGCAATGGAGTCATCAAGGATTTGGAGGATGGGGTCAGGTCGGTTGCAAGACGAGAGGGAACCCCCAGGTGGGTTCAGATTGCGGGGCAGCTGAGTCCAATGGGCACGGCAGATGGGGCAGGTAACACTACCATGGCGGACATTGGAGGAGATGCAGGCAAAGTGGAAAGCATGGGAGCACTGGGCCGTGAATATAGCAAGACCTGGGGTGCTGCTCTTGCTATGGTAACTCAGAGGGTCTAGACATATTGCGCACAAATTCTGCCACGAGAATCAACAAATAAAAAGGTAAGAAGACAGATCTGGAAAGAAGAAAACATATTGCAATGACGAACTCAAAATGACTGGAACTGCAATCTAACTGGTGGATGTGTATTGCTCAAACATGTACATTTTCTATTCTAGTCCAGGTCTGGATATTAATAGAAATTTTTATTATCATTACTCATGCATTGAAGAAACCAGTAGTTCAAATATGATGCATATGGATTTGGAATTATTCATAAATCTGATGTATTGCTGAAGCTCAATTCTCAAACAACTGCTATCTGTCAAAGGTTATGCATTAATTCACTGTATTAAGAGTAAAGTGATTGTGATCTAGTAACAGCATGTCTTGGTGCAACAATCAAGTTCTCCATCATCATATTATCCTTTTACCTTAACAAAGGAAGACCAAAAATATTTTGGTAGGAGTAACTTTCAACAAAAAAATGTTCATTCATATCATTAGCATAAATTACGATATGTCAACAATTATTATGCTCGGTGTGGGGTCATGTGCAGAGGGGGTTCAATCTGTTGAAAATAGAACCAGTTCGTTTGAAGATTATGCACCAAAAGTATAGTACAAATTAAAGTATTGAAAACTAAATAAAAAAAGGGATAGGTAGGCATGAAACTCTAATAGTTTAAAATCATCCATATCACAAATTGGTGAGGCAGGGCAGGGTGTGAGTTTCACGAACAGAGCGGGGCTTACGATTCAAGAATGAATAACATGATATCATGAATTCATGACAGCCAGTGCTAGTAGCAGGTGGAAGCAAATTTTAAAACGTGGGATCTACTGTCTCTGGGTGCATAATGGTGGTGGGATGGGAGTCTCAACTTGACTAATGTGCATGTTTCAGGGGCATTCATTCAAATGTCATACTAGTCTTGTAAATATTATGTCATTTCCCAACTGGACTGTGTGAAAAGAGTAGAGTCCCGCTCCCCAAATTTCAATTCATCTGTCCTAGTTTCATATTTCCCAATTCACAGCCACCTGGGAAAACAATTAATTCCTCAATTTTTATGTATGTATATATCGGCTCAATTAAAGCTTTACAGCCACTCCACACACCCAAAAAAAACACAAACAAACAATCAGAAAAATCCCAACTCTTCCTTTCGCCTTTCTTTCTTTCTTTGTTTTCCTGTTGGGGATGGGACTGAGGAGGAGCAATAGGATAGGATTATTCTAGAGAGTAAAGAAGTTTGACTGAGTGAATGGCACACCAACAACAGCAGGTTGTGGCAAGAAAACAAAACAAAACAAAAATAAAAGAGGCACCTTAGTTGAAGTTGAAGGCATATTGTTACTCTTGATCGTAAATTCCGTTTCCTTTGCAACTTCTTCTCCTGAGATATTCTTTGGGTTTGTGGGAGACACCGCTGAAGAACCTGAGATCTATAAGTATAAACAAAACAAAAAAGAAGAAGAAGAAAAAAACCAAGTGTTTAAAATAACATACAGATACAGACACAGTAGCAGAAGAAAATAAGAAAATCCAGGCGAGTTATACATGGTAAAAAAGAAGGGCAAGTGAAATGACGCAGCAAAAACATAAAGGAGAGGGTCCAACTATTTGGTTCTTTTTGAAATTTCCTGATTCGACAATCAAACTAGTAGCTACAATTGGGAAAATAATAATTGTTGAATTGGGGAAAGAAGATTTACAGAGGCAGTGGCGGTGGCGTTGGTATGATCGAAGACGATGGGATCCACAAGAGCCTTTCTCCGGGAGAAGGAACCACAAGCATTTGCAGCTGCCACCACCATTTTCTTCGCTGCATTTCTCAGTTTAGATTTTGACGATGCTCCTCCTCCTGCTCCTCCCATTCCCATGCCTCTCTCTCTCTCTCTCTCTCTCTCTCTCTCTTCTTCCCACTATTACTACTACTACTAAGTAGTAAGTAGTAAGTAGGTAATGAATGCTCTTCTTTTTGTTCCTCCGCTGCTACTATTGCAATTTGCAATGCAGACGACAGTGAGAGTTTCCCTTGCCTTCTTTTATCCTTCCCTAAATTAAGGAAGGGTAAATTGAATTAAGCGTTGCGTTGGTTTAGAAGCTACAATATAGTGATATACATACACACACATGTATAATATTAATAATTATAATAATGTATTGGTTTACCACTTTATTGCTCTTTTATCATTTTTTACCTTTTCTTTTGTCTTTTTTGTTTTCCAGAGACTCACCTTTTATTTCTACCCCAGCACCCAGCCTCTTTCCTTTTATATTTTCCTCTCTCTCTCTCTCTCTCTCTCTCTCTCTCTCTCTCTCTCTCTCTCTCTCTGTGGTACTGGCACTGGTGACTGGTATATTTATTATGTACTTCAAACAATTTCCCCACATCAAAACTCCAAGATTTATTATTAGTTATCCTTTTTCTGGTTTAACAAGGATAATATGTGCGTTTGGGTCTGCCAATCCAACTCCCAAGGTAAAGCATATAAGGAAAAGGAAAAAAAAAAACAGAAAAAGCAAACGAGAAAAAGACCGTTGGGTTGTATTTTGAATTTCAAAGTTTTGCAAAAATATAACATCTATGATGGCAGACAAACTAAAGTTAACAAAGTAACTGGATGAGTTGGCGCCAAAAATGCTTTTCTTCCTCTTCAATTTGCATTCCGTTCCATATTTTCCATTTGGTAATTGCTTTTCTTCCACTTTCCCGTTCTCAAACATGGTAATTCTGACTGCTATGAAGGAGTCTCGATTTTTTTTTTTTTTTTAATTATTTTTTTTATAACTTTCGCTTGGTGTCGTTGATGGATTTTCAACATCCCTTGGCATCGATCTAAAGTATTCTGGATGTCATGTGAGTTTAGGATTAGGATACATGTACATCCTTGCTTGCTAACAAACATGAATGTTGATGACCAGTATGAGTATCGTTCTCAAGAATTAAAAAAGCTTTTCACTTGAGTGAGGAGAAATCATGATATCCTCCAAGGTTGTATCCAATTAATGCACCTTCTAGTTCTACCAATAAAGAGAAGAGAAAAAAGACAAGACATATGGGAAAAGGATGATCGAAGAAACCCTGAAATTCAAAACAAGTTTCCTTTAATTTGGAAAATGACTGATGCACTAAAGATAACTATTGACAGTACTAGTAGTGAGAGAGAGAGAGAGAGAGAGAGAGAGAGAGCCAGGGAATCTCTTTTGTGACTGACTGACATATGGGAAAGCTTCCAAAGATATGTGCTTGTCTTGACTCTTCATTCTTGCACATGAAAAGAAGGAAAAATTAAAAAGCAAAGGTTGCTGTTGTCCTCAACACTCAACTCAACACCCACAAAACAAAAGCACAAATATGTTTGACTGCTTACACAACCTTGTGCATTTGACCCGGTCAAAGCCATTCAATAGCGTCCAATCCAATCCAATCATATTTTAAATCTTAAATTGATTAGGAGATGGCCTTTTAGTCTAATTCAATCGAGTGCTTATTTTTTGTCCGTCTGTCTCTTTGTGTTTATCTGCAGACTGCAGTCTTTTTCTTGAACAAAAAATTATGTCAATGTCGTATTTGTTTGGTGAGTGAAGCTATGGCTGGTATCTTACATAATTAAGCGAAATAATTTAGGCGCACCTCACTCAACCACTAACATGTTCTAATCACAAATATTATGACCACATATATATGAATCATGATGGTCGTTGATAGATTTCCTTTCTTGACTGCTACGACTGGCCCTTCTGTTACCTTCGGCTTTCCTTCAAACCCGGAGTTGCAGAACCTTCAAAAACAGTTCGCGTTTGAAGCTTGAGCAAAAATAAAATGATTGACTAGTTCTTCTAATATCTTCCCGGGACATACTAGCATGTGAAGGTCTTTGAAGGGTATGCTACTATGCTAGCTACATATTGTTTGTTCTACCCCGGAAAATTCATCTGCGGCAGCCCGGTGTTGGCCGAGGGATTGTTTTCGTGTTGTTTGTGTAGGGGTGCCACTATTGGCAGCTAAAGTTCCAACAAAAATATCGACTCTAATCAATCAATTGTGAATTGGGTTGGGAACTGACCCAATATAGGTTCTTTTCTATGCCTCAATGAAGAGGATTTCAATATTTTTCTAATGCGAAGATAAGAACAAGCAGAAAATAAAAATAACAGAAATGAAAATGAGAAACACGATCTGGAATTGAAGATTTCTCGATTCAGTTCAATATCAATTCAAACTCAAAGTAAATGATAGATAGCTACCCTAAACTGATGATTTCTCTACTCAGTTAATTGTAGCTATAGACTTGAAAAAATAAATGACAGTAATGAAAATAATGAATGTTCATATATGGAGATTTCTCTATAAACATTGTAATAAAAGTAATAAAAGTAAACAACATAGCTTGAAGATTTCTCTATTCAGACTTGGTACATAAAAAGTAAAGGATTTGGCCTAGCTACTGGGTATCAATACCAAGTGTTGGCAGAGCATAAAAATAAAAAGATAACAATCATGACTTGACAACTGGTTATCTTGAAGGAAAGGCAATTTGTTTCAAGCTTGAGGTTTTCAAGTGTTGAAGACGTTGAGCATGTTTGAGAGAGTTGTGTTGTGTTGATTGTTGACGACTTCTCCTTCTATTCATAGAGAAAATGAGGTGGGTTGAGTGTTGGGACTGGTAGCCAATGAGAAGTACTTAGTTGCCATTAATTTTGGTGGGTGGATTGCTGAAAAAGCAAGCAAAATTGGTGTTGTTCCGGTGAAGCTCCCTAGGTAATTCAAAATATCTTCCAAGCAAAACTTGTTTCCCTCCTTCAGCAGCATACTTTAATATTTCTACTCAAAGGTATAAACTTCCCCAAACTTTCAACTCTCTTCATCTGTTACGCAGTAACAATAAAATGGTTCAAATTGTAGCTCAAAGGGATGCGAAATCAGGTGTCGGGAGTACTTCAGCTTGGAGCTTTCCCCCCTCATCTTTTTGCAAAAAGCCACTCCACGGTGGTAAGTCTCATCTTGTGTGTTGGTAATATTATTGTTCAATATTATCATTATGATTCACTTATTTGGTGGCTACAGAAGAAAGATGAGTTGCCTTTTGAGTATCCCATCTCACAAATTTGTGGTAGAAGCTTCTCTTGTAGCAGTCCATAAATCTCAGCGGCCTGAGGATGAGATCTGTCCCCAACAAAAAATATATGGCTCCTGCCCTTCACTTCTATTTGACTAAAACCAGGAACTTTCTTCACTCTTCTCTCCTTCATCTTCTTTCTTACTTGAGCAAATTCTTCCCACTTCCCATGTGCAGCATACACGTTAGCTAAGAGTACGTAAGCCCCTGAGCTGGCTGGCTCTAACTCTAGTAGCTCCTTACCTATACGATTTGCCATTCTAACATCACCACCGTGCAACCTATATGCACCTAGCAATGCCCCTAGAACAACAGCATCCTGCTCACAAGCAGGCATTTCTTCGCATACCACCCGTGTAGCCTCATCCACCAATCCTGCTCGGCCTAAGATGTCCACAAGGCAGGAATAGTGCTGACCATTTGGTTTCAAATCATAAGCAAGATTAATTGAATTGAAAAGCTTTTGACCCTTCTCGACAAGACCAGCATGATTACAAGCTGATAAGACTCCAACAAAAGTAATCTCGTCTGGCTCGGCTCCTGATCGTAGCATGCGTGCAAAGACCTGTAATGCGTAGTGACCATATCCATGGTTTGAATATGTTAATATCATTGCAGTCCATGATACCGCATCCTTAGCCCCAAGATGCTCAAAAACAAGCCTAGCAAAGGTAACATCTCCATTCCTGGAATACATAGTAACAAGAACATTTGCAACTAATGTGTCATGATCAAACCCATGAGATATGACCAGTACATGAGCTTGCATGAGCTCCATCATGCCCTCACATGAGCTCAACATGCTAGTGATGGTAGTTGCATTAGGCCTAAAGCAAAACCGAAGCATGAGAATTACGTACTTTAAGGCTTCCCCTCTGGACCCACTTTTGGCGTAACCACCAATCATCACATTCCAAGTAACAATATTCCTTTCCCGCATCAAATAGAATAGCTCGCTAGCTTCTGTCATGAGGCCTTCGTGAACATATGATGTGATCATAGCATTCCAAGCAGCTACGTCTTTGTTAGGCATCCGATCGAAGTACCCCCTGGCAAGTTCAACCATATTGTTGTCTGCCAGACCTGTAACCATAGTTGTCCAAGATATTGCGTTCCTTTGAGGCATTGAATTAAAGAGTTTGATGGCTTCACTTACTCTATTCGCATTTAGATAACCTGAGAGCATGATATTCCAAGTATATAGGTTACGTTGCGGCATATTATTGAAGAGATCGAGTGCCTCATCTAATTGATCATTCCCAACAAAAGCCTTGATCATAACGGTCCAAGAGACGGTGTTCCTTTCAGGCATAAGGCCAAAAACATGGCGAGCTTCATCAATCATGCTGTTGCGGGCATAACCCAGAAGCACAGTAGTCCAGGAGACCACATTTTTGACAGGCATATGATTAAAAAGCCGGCGACCCTCCTCAACTTGTCCGCAACTGAAATACCCAGAAATCAAACTGGTCCAAGAGTACACATTTTTGTTCGCCATGTGATCAAAAACTTTACGAGCCTCATCTATATGGCCGGCTTTCACATAGCCGTTAATCATTGAAGATTCAGCAACAAGACTACTTGTGGGCATCATCTGGAAGAGCTTCTCTGCATTGGGAAGATCGTGGTTCTTCAAGTAAACATTAATCATGGAAGCATAAGAGACAGCGTCCCGTTCAGGCATTTGGTCGAACAGATTCCTTGCTTCTTTGACTTTGCCATAGCGGCCGAGATTTGTTATCTCAAAGTTACAGCTGTATACATTAAATGCTTTCGATAGGGCTGGAATCAGATTTGGCCTTTGGAGACAGCCTTGATGCAATTCCAAATTCGGTTGTCCCTGAGAAGAAGCATTGAAATGGCCGAGGGTTTGAACATGGCGGAAAGCTTTGAAAGATGGAGACGGCAAACGGAGGATGGCATGATGATGGCTACTAAGTCTAATACTGACAGTATATGCCATACTAATATTGTTACTCGTTCAACGAAAACATTGTTGGCTTGCTGTGAGCATAATAAGCTTCAAAGAAGATAACAAGTTCAGTGATGATAAAAATCCCAAGAGAGGGAGATGAACTCATACTTTCTTTAAATTAAAAAAAAGCTTTGAAGTAAGAAAGAAACAGGATAACAATATAAAACTCCCAAAAACTATAGGGTCCATTTTAAGTTGAGGAAAAATATGTTTCAAATAAAAACACTTGGACCAAAAGCGCTTATGAGAAGAAACATTCCCAAATCATCCTCAAATCAAGGGAAAAAAAATTCAGGAATTAATCATATTTGTACTAGTCAGTCAGTACTCAGTAGAGTTGCGCAATAATTATTAAGTAACAGAATCCACAAAGATTATTAACAAACAAGACGGCAGCAAGGAAACGGGGAGAGAGAGAAGCTTCAACCCAAGACTAACGTCTATATGATGAAGTAAAAAAGAGGAACAACACGACCCTAGCTACTAGTAGTAGCTATCATTGTATCTAAACTAAGCAAGCAAGTCTCAAGTAAAGAGTTTAGAGACAGCAACGCAGATTTCACAAAGGCGCTTCAAATCAAGATTCATGGTGGTCAAAGGAGGATAAGTTGTCTTGACAACAACTTGGCAGTCATCAGATGCAAGAGAAGCAGCACCTGCCCAATCAACGAGCTCAGAGAAAGTTTCTGAGTTGAGGTCGTTGTAGGCGGATGAGAGTGCAGAAACGGCCTTGTTGTAATCATGATAACATCGTCGGAGGACTTGCTGGGTAGGGCCTGCCTTTGCCTTTGCCTTTGCCTTCGCCTTTGTGTGGTTGAGCAGCTTGGCTATATGGTCTTGGGTGCTGGAGGCATTGAGGAATGCTAAGCGAAACGAGATGTAGGCAAGCACATAGCGATCAGCACTGGGCGTGCGTGGGTCCGTGTAAAGAGACTCCACACACAAGGAGTAACTGGAAGTTGAGTGACAGACCTCGTCCACAAGCTTAGTTGGCTGAATGCTACTAGTAGCACAGAAGATGAACAACGCCAAGCACACACACACAACAAGATATTTGAATGCCATTTCTCTTAATTATCACCTCCCTTCTTCTTTCGGGTTGGCTTGGCTTGGCTTGGCTTGACTTAGAGAGAAGATGATCATGAATGGAGGGAGAGGGTGTGAGGAAACCCTGTGAACCCGTGAACCCAAGGATGCATAAAGACAAAGAGAATAACATCAGCAGTGCCAGTAACGATGCATTTTCCAAATTAATGACATTTCTTTCTTGTTTCGGTTACACAAATGCATCACATTTCAGTGAATAATTAATGGTCATTCCGACGCATTTCCAAATTTATAAAATTTCTTTATTTTTCGGTTACACGGAATTCTGCTGCGTAGAGAAGAATCCAGGAGTCCTCTTATTAATGTTCAGGATCCATCTTTTCATTCTCCATCTGTACACTAACACTAGTTTCTCCCAAGTCCTTTCCAGTAGTCCAAATAATGAGCTAACGAGTTGGAGAAAACCTCACCTATACCGGGATACCACTGTGGCACTATCCCGAGCCAATCACACTCATTGTCATGTGTTTCAACTTTCCAATATGGTAATGCAATTTTCTGAAATAGCAATGAGTGATAGGCTTGGAATACTGCCACGGTGGCATCCTGTTACATGTAAGTTCTTCTCAACGAGTTGAGATTAAGATAAGTCAAGAATTTGACTCTCTCTCTCTCCAAATAATGAGCTAAAAATAATAATAAAAGTGTTTTACCACTCGCAACGTTAAAAGGCCCACACAAGTTCTAATTCGCTTGTTAGTGTTTTACCACTCATACTCCCTACGTTAGTGTTCTAATTCTCTTTTTTTTTCTTTTTTTTTTTCTTTTTTTATAAAATAATTTTTGGTCCAATAAATTGTCATTCTCAGTGTCAAAATACTTTAGCCCTTTCTATTATTGCGTTTTAATAATTATTTATTTACATACATGTGTCCGACTGATTTGCAGCTAGCAAGAATGGTCGGGATTTTTGTTTTTGTTTCATAGTTTTGGGGGTCATCAAACTTGTTGAATATGAAGTTAGAATTAGTAGTACTAGCAGATATTGATTGTTTGTTCAAAAATTAATAATTTTATTATAAAAAAAAATATTTATGCAAATGATAAAATTATCCTCAATGAAGTATACAGATCATTTACCAACAGATCAACGTCACTGGATCCGGGATGGCCAACACATCCCTTCACCACGTGACCACAATGTCTTTATGCTCCTTTATAAATTAAAAAATAAATACATAAATAAAAAATAAAAAATTATGCCTTTATGCACCTCCTCCGGTTCAAATTTCACATCAATGCGTGAGTACCAATTATGAAACAGACAGCTGTCAATGGGGCCAAACAGCATTCATACATACGCGATGTCATTGCACCATCCATCCTCAATTAATAAGGATAGCAACTCCATCCAACCAGCTCTCGTACCATTATCTTAAGCTTAATAATAGTATTTTGATTTGCCAAATCTAAAATCAATCTTCTTCCGACTGTTGATAGAGAAGCTACCATATCTTACAATTACAGAAGTGGTTCAAAATGATACTAGAAGCCATGACTATCTATGCACAAGCACAACCACGACGAAAAACACAAACTATATGGTGAAAAAATTTAGCTTCCAATAATTTACAAGTACATGTGAGTTCTGCAGATATGTAATCATAAATTATGACTCCAACATGAAATGCCTAGTTAGTAAAAATGAAACGAAAAAAACAATATTCAAAATGTGTACAGAAAGAATAAAGCTTTGAAGCTGATACTTTAGAACAAAAAGTGCCTACAAAGAGAGGGAGAGTGAGAGAGAGGCAAACCTGTCACATTTTACAGCTTAGAAGGAAGGTGTTGCGCAGAACACTTCAAACATACCATAAGTGCCATTCTATGGATTGATATTGCACTCTCGCATATACATATGATCATAATCAATATATTTTACCCAGTAATTTCGGTATTTGGGTATGCCTATCTCAAGCCACGGTTTCATGTTACCATTATAGTGTATAACAGCTGCTCGATCAATTTCCTTCTGGTTAACACTAGGGTTATAACCAAGGCCCAGCACATGCCAGGAGCGATCGAGTGGGTATGTGCGTTTCCAAAATGTTATGAGCCCAGGTGGTAGGGTTCCCAACTTCCACAATTGTCTATCATGATTCTGTGCAAAAAAGAAAACTTCGTTCAGAACTGTAAACAACATCAAACAAGCCAGTAAAGTCTAGCTTTCATAGCAGAGAAGGCTGGGAAGCAACAAGCAAGAATCTTAGAGTTATGAAAATATTGGTCTAAAGAAAGCCTATATCCAATCTCCAAAGCACCAAATCTCTAAATAAATAAAGATGTTAACCTAAGAGGTTAAGAGACAATCCTTGATTGATGGCTATGGTGCTCGCAGAATCAGATGGTTTCCAATCAAGATTTTTAAAAAAATTTATTTCAAGTGAACAGTTAAGTGTGAGTGATATTCAAATAGTCAAATCAATCATTTTAAATTTCCATGAAAAAAAAAAAATCTAAAACCATTTTCCTTACCAGCTCCTGCCATCTGTGGTACACCTCTGTGATGTTTTGCTTCTTCCATTCCTCCAAATCAAAGATATTCATTCCATATGCCCATCCACAAGCACGAGCATCAAAATTCTTTGAGATAAGAGGATTTGAAAAGTTAAGATACCGATCAAAGCGATGGAAGCTTTCTCCACAAGTCTCCACAGCCCCATTAACATTTCCCTTCAAGTCAAGGGCCCAGAGCCCAGTAAGATCCTTCTGCACAACCACATCATCATCCAGGAACAGAACTTTGTTGAGCTTTGGAAAGACCTCTGGAAGGTAAAAGCGGAGATGGTTCAGGATAGACAAGTACTTTGGGTTTCGAAACTTCAAATTTGAATCAGAATTGGCCCGATGAGTCCTAAAGTAATAATCTATCATGGATGCAGAACCCAACTGCTTCAGAACCGGACTGTAACTTGAATTCAACCATGTAAATTCTTCAATGTTTTGAACCTGAATAGTGGCCTTGCCCGGCGGATTTACTAAAAACCACATTCTCATTGCAGCATAATTGAGCCTATCAGTGACAATATGGAAAACATGATTTGCAGGGTCCTGTAGAGGTTCCAAGCAGCGTAGTTAGTTAGAGATCTCAACCAAAATTGAAAGGTCCTAGACATGAATTATAGATTCTTGATTAGTACTCCAAGGTTTTTTTTTTTTAACCTTCATCGTTCTTTATATTCGTTTTACTTGGGAGTTGGAACTGGGACAACAGAAAAGGAAGAAGAAGAAGAAAACACAAGGATCACAATATGCGGATACCTTAGCATGGGTGACAGTTGAGTTTACAACAACCGCTGCAGCCAATACATTGTCTGAGAATAGTGCATAATGGTACAGCAGGGGATCTTCTAGTTTCTCTTGATTGGGAAAGATCTGTTGAGAAGAATTTAAGGTATAGTATTCAGTGGTAAGGCGCAATGGAAGACAGTGAAGTCCCTTGGGAAGTGTTTTTGCCGTCAATTGTGTCAAGAACAACGTCTGCTTCCTGTGCACCCGGAGTTGCTCTTCCATTGAATGAAGCATAGCTCGAAGCTTTTTCACCATAGCGGCGCAGTCGTCTTGAATCTGCTTACCTTTAGTCAACGTCTGTTCCATTGCCTTCAACTTATCGTAGGCGCTGTTTTAAGATAAACAATTATTACAAACAAAATAAAGAAAATGAATTTTTTGGTAGAATTAGAAATATAGAGATAGACAGTAACTTTTTTTTTTTTTTTTTTTGAGGAACTTTCCTATTGAGAGGGGCGATAGTGTACTAAACTCATACACACTACACGGATGCTAGGACCCGAACCCAGGACCTTGTCCGAGGGAGTAAATATTCCAAACCACTACACTAACCAATAAGGATACCAACATACATATTCATAAACAAAAAGGAACGACAAACTTGAGAAAGGTAGCAAAGTTAATTTCGTTTAAGAGAAAACATACTTCCTTGGCAGGTCAGAATCCTTGGTTGCCTCCCAAAGTGCTTTTTGAACTTCCTTTATTCGCAGTCGAAGCTCCCTTGTGAAATGGGGGTTGTTTCTTGTGGCTGGAAGAGATAGGTAGACCTTTGCCCTGATGAGCTGGTCTTTAAGATATCGTACCCGAACATTTGGCACAGCTGTTTCATCATTCTGTTTTTCAGTCATAGTTTTCTTGGGTTTTCTTTGATCAACCCTGCTGGATGTTTGAGTGGATTGTCGCTCATTCTTTATTTCCTGGAAGTAGAAGCAGTGCCATAAAAGAAGAGAGAAATAAGAATTATGAATTGACATTTTCTCAAATTTCAATAAGGCAGAAAAGTCGCAAGCAATTTAGTGCGGAAAACATGTGCATTTGGCAATTAGAAGTTGGCAAAAGTGCAACCATTTCCAAACACTTAGGAGGACCATTGGTGTAAAGGGAAAGCGGAACAATTGGTACCGTAGTCTGAGAGGCATTATCAATATTTTGCTCAGAAGCACCACCTCCTTTGGCATCTAAGTCAGACATAAACTGGTTTCCTTGCTCAAGTGTTTGAGTGACCTGTCTGATGGGATTATCTGTTTGAGACAGATTTTGGTCGTTGGTGGTAGATAACACTCTAGCGGATACATGCTCCATGGAGTCCACTGAAGGCCCATCTAAGAAATAAGGTGGGGAAGTGATTTAGACTACACCAAGATTACTTATTAAGGAAAAAATCACAGAAATGATAAATAAATAAAAGATGCATTGCTGGTAGGAAAGTTAAAAGAGTAAAATGATAACCTTTATGAGAGTGATTGAGGTGGGCGGAGCTCCCCTTTGTCTCTGGATATGAATTAGTGGAGTTGTCGGAATATACCACTCCGACAGGTTCTTTAAGGGTTGTGGATGATTCCTACGATCAGGAAAAATAAATAAATAATTTAATGGATGAAAGTTGAGTCCTTCAAACATGGAAAATTTCCTTCTCTAGCTTTTTATTTATTTATTGATTATTTGGTTCTGGAACTACATAAAGGAACAAGGAAGAGTAATTAAAAATAGAGACCTGGGGAAGCAGATTTAGACGGCCAGTATGAGCATTAGCAGCCTGTGTAGAAAATTCAAGGTTAATTTTAAATTCATCCAGCAATAACTAGAGATCGGAAAACAAATGCAAAACAACTTACAACGGCTGTAACATCTTCAACAAAATCGTCTCCAGCTGCAGAGGAGGCATTGGGATTTAGGTATTAGGGATTAGGCATTGGGATTTGAACAGGGAAAAATAAATAGTCCAATCCACTATTATAATTTATAATGAGAAGAACAACTTACAGGAGGAAGAGGAGACCTGGAAGGACCCAAGACGATCAGTGTAAAGTATAATGGGAGCAATCACCGTCACAAACAACATCACCATCACCACATTCCTCACCATCATCTTTCCTAAAATTAAAATTTTAAAAATAAATTAATTAATTAAAAAAAGGCAGCCCCAGCACACAGAGGCAGAGGCCAATCCTCTCTCTTTTCGCCTTTTGGGGCAAACAGCCGCCGCACCTCCCTCCTAATCACAGGTTTCTCCGGTGGATTGACTATTATCCTTCCCTCCCTTCCTCCATCCTAAAATTAAAAACCTTCTTTTTCAGCCGTAGGATCTCTCTGTCACTGACATTTCAAAAACTGCTACAAGCAAAGCAAAGCAAAGGATAAATTACTAGCTTTACTTACAAAGATAATGGGGCGAGGGCAGACAGAGAAAATAGACAAACAAAGTCGGCGCCTGTTGATAATTTCTGAATACAATATAAATGGAATGAATGAGTGATGGACAAAGCCTACTCACTAATAATACCAATAGAAATACTCCAGCTTCCGCCAAAGCTATCTAAAATAAAAATGAAGATTCACTGTTATACCCAATATAAAAGCCCAAATTATAAAAAAAATTCATATATGAAATGAACTTTATAAATACACTCAAAGCTCATTTATAACATAACAAAAAGGCTTTTAACTTCTTTTAAATTACAAAATTGTCATTGATTTCTTAAAATAAACTCAATCTCAAAACCTCATAAAAAAGCCCAAAACACTCAATAGGGCATCAAAGTAATTTAATAATTAAAATTAAATTAAATAAGGTCATTTGTCATTTTTTAGGTGTTTTTTGAGTTTGTTTATAGAAATTAAATGATTTAGGGTTTATTTGTAGTTTTAGTGCTAAGAATGAATATATTACTAAATATATCAACTAAAAATTCTAAAAAGTAATATAGAAAATACATTTGAATTTTTGTTTTTGCTACAAATAGAAAATATAAATTGAATTATAAGTTTGACACCTTTTCTTTTTCGCAAAACTCTACTAACTTATAATTTTTTTTTTCTTTAAAAAAAATGTACCAAGTAAATGCCATTTTTTAGAATATTCTACCTTAAATCATATTTTTATATTGACTCAAATACGGTAAGGCTTTTACATTTATATCTTTTAAGTTTTTTGTATATGTGTGTGGTGTACATTGCTATGCACTCACAGGTTTTATCCATATGAGCTGTTAAATTGGGCATTAAGTTATACACATGTCAAAATTACAAAATTTTAAGGTTTTGGTGGTTTATATAAATACATATGATTTCGCATTGTAGTCACATTTTTAAATATTATGGCATTTTAATTTAATTTAATTTAATTTTTTTAAATTATGATTTATTGATACTTTTTAATTGATGTGATTGTATACCTCATTTGCCACATAAAATGATATGAGAATATAGTATACATAATAGTAGCATTACTCATTAGTTTTTCAAAAGCCATAATATTTTGTATGATGATGCCATGGGTGTGTCCAGGCATCGTCTTGTTACTGCTTAGGTGTTGCTGTGCTGGGCTTTTAGCCCCCCTGGTTACCAAGAAAAAAAAAAGCCATAATATTTTTAGTATTTAAATAAAATAAAGAAGTGAGCGTTTCACCGAAAAAAATAAAAATAAAGAAGTGACCGTATTTATTTATTTTCACGGGCAGGTCGCGTCAACTATACTTGAGGGACCACCACATAAGTCAGCATCAAGACACGCGTGATTGACGGCTGTTGCATTTTAACTGATATCTGAAAAGTGAAAATGAATTGGAACACAACACTCATGAACACTGAGTACAGGTGCTTTTGTCAACCGAGTTAGAGATTTTAGGTTTTTTTAATATGCGTAATTCTCTTTAGATCAAACTAATTTATTTTTGTGTTTGGTCACTGGAGATGCTGTACTCATTTTCGACATTGCGTCTACTCTGAACTTTTTTTCTGTATTATCAATAAAATTACTATCGCTTTTAATCCCCAAAAAAAAAAAAAACACACACACTCATGAACACTGGACTGGACACGGTAAAGTCAGCTTCTGATCAATCAAAGAGAGCAAAGTAATTTAAGTAAACGAAACGATATCATAAAGGAAAATGCTAGGGAGACCAATTTGGGAGACCAACTTGGGATACCAACTCTCTACTAGAGCGTGGGACCCATTGCATTGGTGGGCTCCACCTCTATTAGAGAGTTGGTATCCCAAATTGATCTCCCAAGTTGGTATCCCTAGCATGACCCTATCATAAATGCACATTGCACAACAGTCTCTCGGTCTTAACAATATTACTAGTGTCGGCAGCACAAGCACAACAATATTAGTAGCTGCCCGCTGCCCGCCAGCCTCGCTTTCTTTCGCTGGGCCATTCCCATTTCGTAGCCACTTGATTTTCATTTCATTCCTTAATTTTCACACTTTTTTTTTTCTATAAATTTTTAATTATTTTAACTAGTCTCACCCGCCTCGTATAATCTCATTCTTAAAACATGCACACTTGTGTTTCATGCTAATTAACAAGCACATTTCTGTTATAATTAACTTCTGAAGAGGTACTTTATCGAGTCGAGGTATTTTATAATTAATTTTTGGACGGAAGGCTGGCTCTTAACTCGCGAATGGGACAATGACAAGTTTTTATGGTTCTAATTCTAAGTAAGAATTTGGAAGGGTACATGCACTAGAGACTTCCAGAAAGAAAATAAAATTGTCCTTACCCTTTGCAAATTTAAGAAATTGTGCATAGAGAGAGAGAGTTGTTGTGGAAATTCATAGGCAGTACAGAGTTATTAGAAATAATGAAGGAATCACTTGGTTGGTAAAATTGGTGATGCTAATGATTGTAATTAATTATAGAGTATAAAAGAAGAGTGCCACTGCCTCACTGCCTCACTGCCTCACTGCCAGCCAGCCACTGTGATGGTTTTCCATTTTGAAGCAAATAATCTAGTTGAAAAACTTTTGAGTCCTTTGATTGATTCATTTCCAATTGGTTTTGGTTTTAATAACAAACAGAATAGTAAGAGACCCAATATGAATTAATTGGACAATAATAAATTACACAAGTGTAACAGAAATGGCGGAGGAGCGTAAACAAGAAAAAAGAAAAAAGAGATGGAGGGAGAGAGACGGGTGGCTGGCTGGCTACCTTTACACAATATTGGGCATGCCATGCCATGCCAGCACTGAGTGTGTAATCGATCCTTTGTGGGCCTGCCTCTGGCTACACATCCATCCCCCCTTGTTGCACTTGCATTGCATTTACATGCCCAAGTTTATCTTCTGTTTATGTGACATAACTCGCAGTTAATAATAATAATAATAATAATAATAATAATGTAAACTTAATTAGTTGGGCTGTTGATGAAGGGGCTGATTGAGCAGGAAGGTCCAAATGCAATCCGCACCCTCATTCTCCAAGCCATCATCATCTTGATTAAGATCTCGAGGACTTCGCTGTGCATCTTCCTCAAGCTTGTCCTTAGCTGGAGGAAAGTCTAGGAGCAGTTCCTGATGATCGGATTGATCATGAGTCTGATAGAAACACCGCCCCACCGCGGAGAAAGAAAATTGATCATCAATACTTATACCATGACCAGGATTACTACTAGTAGTAAAGGTGGGTGTGTCATCCAGTGCCAGTACTGGTGATGAGAAGACGTCCTCAAAATTAATCCACTCCTCCGATTGGGAGATTATACCATCTTTCAGCCACGGAAAATCAAATACTCCTAATGCGCAGTGGGATTCTGACGATGTACTGCTGCTGCTGCCGTTGTCCTTGTATTCAAGGACGTCATTTTTCAAGTCCAAAATACCATAATTAATAGGATCATCTTTTGTCTTTGCATGCTTCTCTCTCTCTGAAGAAGAAGAAGAAGAAGAAGAAGAAGAAGGAGAAGAATTATTGTGGCCTTCGTCTCCTTCTCTTACTCTCTTCTTGCTGTCACGCTCCATTTATATAATGAAAGTCTTAATAAGTTCCTGCTCATGAAAAATATATAGGAAAGCTCATTATGTAATGTATAGAAATAATAATATAGAGGAACAAAATTATACAAACTCTGGGAGCGAGAGCTCTACTCATCATAATAATATAGGTTTAACTATAGATTACACACACACACACACACATATATATATATATATGAAAATACTACTCATACTAATAATAAAATACACAGCTTAAACCTGATTCATAATCAGCAAGGACATGCTAAAATCAGATGGTGAATTCCTAGCTAGATGCTTCAAAAGTTGGCAATGGTATCGTATGCAATTAATTGCTAAATAAATTAAATGAATGCATATGCATCTGAATGCGCACACAAGAACCTTTGTGACCTTGAGATTCAAAGATATAATTATTGAAATGGTATAAGAAAGAGCGAGTCTGATCTGATGGAAATGGTGGAACTTTGAATATCAATTTTATATCAAACTTGTTTTTTTTTTTGCATTCATTACGTACCTGTAACCTGTATTGAGCTTCGGCTTTGGCTTTGGCTTTGGCAGAGTTTGTATATCTGGAGCTGTCGAATGTATGAAACGTCTGCTGAAGAATGATGATTACAAAAGAGTTTTGCTCACACGCTACGCGATTTTAAGCTAAACCGTCTCTAACCACACACACAGACACACTCCTCCATCACGCTTTTTACCCGCCCGTCTCTCTCTCTCTCTCTCTCTTCATCAAGAATGAAATGAAACAGATGGGTTGGGTTAGTTCCTCTTTTTGCGTTCCTTTCCTTTCTCTCTCGCCTCTCTATTTTTTCAGTTTCCAACTTCCAAATACCACAGGCAAAGGCATCCACCCCTACATCCTTTTCTCCCTTGCTTTTTCTTCCTCCGTTTTGTCTCCACTAGTTTTGCCACGTCATAAACACCCCAAGCAAGCAATGTAAGTTTAGTTCGTACCATTTCACTTTTCGGCTTTCAATCCATTTATTCCAACAAAAAGAAAACACCTTCATTCATTCTATCGTATTGTTCAACATTGCTACATATGAGTGACAGACGGCAGAGAACTATCACAATCTTTTCTTGTTTCTGTCACTCGGGCATTGCTCGCCTCCAATACAGTAAACTTTTCAATGCTCCGGTTGAGACGAATTCAAATATTAAAGAAAAGAAATTTTTTACAATGTAGGATATGACCGACTTTATCTACATTGCCACTGTGATGTGATCTCTAACTGAAATTTCCAGAAACTTGAATAATTATCACATTGGAAGCTTGAAATTTTTGCTCTCATCCATAGCTGCCTGTACGATGAGAAAAGAGCGATAATCGTATTCAACAAATGTTAGTCTGCCCTCAATTGTATTCAATAGAAGAAATTCTGCATATCTTGATTGTGCCACAGGATATAATTTGATCCTTTTCTGATAAATTGAATAATTTCATCATCTTTTGGAGGGTTCTTCATAGGTTTTCGTCTCTGACTGCTTACCGTATGTGGAAACCTCACAGGTCAGGTAGTAATCCATGATCTTCTTCACTAAATAAAAACTTCCATCGAAGCTTTCATCTGTCCTTATGACATTCTCGATGTTCATAATTCACAGCACTTTGGAACACATTTTTCCTCTGCCGCGCATAGCTCACAAGATACAGTTGGGCAAATAATGTGAAGTTGCTTCCAGAATGGGAGGTTCAAGTTCCTCTTCTCAATTTAAAGAGGAAGACTGTCGCATCACAGATCACAAGCACATGAATCACAAGGACCCAAACATGAACAGTCAGGTAAAGGATTAGTTTTGTATGCAATGCAACTAGCCACATGCAATTAGCGCTACCAATAGTCCCTACAAGAACAAGAGCCATCGCGGAAATGATGGAACCGGTTTGTATCTCTCACAATGATTTCTCTCCCTTCCACCTTTGAGACGTACTTGATTGCCGAATGACAATCACCACAAACCCTGATGTTCTTCTTGATCCGAATGGTGGATCCTGGAGTAGTGTTAAGAAGCGCAAATGCTAGAGCAAGCTTCTCACTATGGTACTGCAACTTGACTTCCCTCTCCTGCTGGTCCACAAAGAAAAGAACATGGCTAGTGTCTGGGACGTATCCAATCTCCTTAATCTTCCCACTAATCGTCTCCCACATCTGAAGGATCTCTACTCTTTGCGGGTGAGCATCATCATTTGCCACAAACATGTGGACTGCATTCTCAATCTCCACCCAACTACAAGCAGGTTCTTTTTTCACCCCACAATCTTTCATCAACTTTCTCACTCTTGCAGCGTCCCTCAATCTGCCAGCAGAGGCATAGATATTAGAAAGTAAGACATGGGGGCCTGAATCATGGGGATCAAGCTCAAAAACACGTTCAGCAGCATAGGCGCCCAAGTCTATATTCTTGTGCATCCTACATGCACCTAACAAGGCTCCCCAAACAGCTGCAGTGGGTTCAATCGGCATTTCTCTTATGAACTTCTCAGCTCGATCAAGAAGACCTGCACGGCCAAGAAGATCAACAATTGTCACATAGTGTGAAATCTGCGGTTCTATGTTGTAACTTTTCATCAAGTCAAAATAATATTGTCCCTCATCCAAGAGACCAGCATGGCTGCAGGCAGTAAGAACACAAAGAAAGGTTATATCATTAGGTTGGATTCCAATTCTCAGCATTTCTTCAAACCGCTGTACAGTTTCCTGTCCAAGCCCATGCTGGGCGTATCCAGTAAGCATAGAATTCCAAGAAACAATGTCTTGTCTAACCAACCTGTCAAAAACCTTTTTTGCATCCTCAATGCTGCCTGATTTGGCATACATGTCAAGAAGAGTATTCCCGACAAAAGCAACAAGCTTAGCACCCGATTTTATCATGTGGGCGTGAACCCACTTGCCTTGCTCCATAGACCCTGCACTGGCACAGGCAGTAAAGACGCTAGAATAAGTAAAATGTGTGGGTTTAAATCCTTCCCTGAGCATCTTCCAGAACAACCTGAGAGCATGCTCTCCTTGAGCCTTCCTAGCATGCCCAGCAATCAAAGCATTCCAAGACACCTCATTCTTGGTCTCCAGGGAGTCAAAGATCAACTGGGATTCATCCATATGGCCCCACCTAGCATACATGTCCACAAGAGAAGTGCCCACATAAACATTGGTATCAAAACCGTACTTAAGGCAATAAGCGTGAAGCTGCCTGCCGTGCTTGTTGTTATCATCAGACACAGCACCAGCAGCCTTGAACAAGCTAGAAAAGGTGAACTGATTGGGTTCCAGGCCACGGAGGAGCATTTGAGGAAACAAAACAAGTGCATCCTGAGGTCGATCATATTGAGAATAGCCAGAAATCAAGGCAGTCCAAGTGACCAAGTCCTTGCAAGGCATTTGATCAAACAGGTTACGAGCGTCTTCCAAACTACCGCATTTGACATACATGTTAAGGATGGTGTTGTGGATGGGAAGGTCATCTTTAAAGTGGGAAGTAAGGATGTGAGCGTGCACAATTCTTGCTTGTTGAATTCTGCCCATCTGGGTACATCTGTTTAGCAACTTATTGTACAGAGTCCGGTCCGCTTCCAAGGAACCGCGATTAACCAAGTCCAGAACTTGAAGCCCTGTTCCCGAATTGTGGAGGCTCTTGCGGAGAAGGTCCTTCTCTTGGATGATATGGGAAGCGTACCAGTCTTCGCCTTCTGAAATTTCTTCCGAGTGCGTGCAGGTAGCCCGAGTTGCAGACGTCCTCAACTGTGCCGCCGATAATGAAAGTTTCTGAATGCCAACAGCAGCAGCCTTCTTGTACAAGTACAAGGCCTTCGATTTGGATTTAGATATATGTCTTGACATATCAGATTACAAGATCTGAACAAAGCTAGCTCCGTCGTCCAACAAAAAAAAAAGAACAGAGCTAGCTCCTAAAATAATATTCAATAGGCGTATGTATGTTCATAGCGTACACCGATTAGTTTCTGTTAGACTTTTTTTTTTGGCTCGAAATCTGACATCATTAAAAGCCAAATAGGGATAGGGATTATTGATTCAACTTTTTCCCTTGCATTTACTATCATTTCTGAATTAATGTTATTGATTTTTCCGGACCCTAGAAGATCTTGAGAGCATTATTGGAGCACATCCCAAGCATATATGTGGATGTAATGTATAAGTGACGAACCTAAATGGTATATTTAAATCATACTGATATTATTGTATTGTTCACCTGTTTTGATTTAGTCCTGTGGTGGTTTCCCACTAGTTTGAAAACCATTTGTGGTCAACAAGTCAACTTTCTTTGGTGTGCGAGCGTGCCATTGTTAGCAGTCAAAAACCTTTACAGACTTATGAAAAATAGATAACTTGCATCCCAAGTTATTGACTTTAAACAAGTGATTGTGAATTTGAGGGAGGAATATCTCCCAAGTTCTTTTCTTGCCTCAGATTGATGTGGACTTTACAATTTCCCACAATAAAAAACTAGTAGTTCTGGCCAAAATGAATATTGAAGACAAATCAAACTGTTTCAAAGAGAACTGTCTATTACACAATTTAAAACAGAAGGGAACTGCCATGTTTGAAAGGACATTAGAACATTGGGCTTCGATTTCTGCTTGGATTGTTGCCTATGATTCAGGCTGGACTGGATGTATCTGTGCTGGATTCAAACACCAGCACCTTCAACTGATGGGGTTCAGCTGCAAATCGATACCAGTGTTGAGATTTGTAGAGCTTTAATCTATTTAAGCCATGGAGAGGCTTGTCGGATAGGCATAACTGGGATCTCTTCAGTCTGGATTGAATTGGAAGTGACTAGATTGACGATTTCTAGTCTGGAACTGTACTTCACCTGTTCTACTTAATTGTGGATCACCTGCGATCTGTTCTGATGATTCTCGGACATCAAGGCCTCTCTGTAAATTTGTTGAGGTTTTCATATTATGAAAAACCTGAATTTTGCTTAAATGGTCTGTGCTTAACCAAATTTGTAACGAGAGAAATCACGTTTCCTTTGTGAGCTACCTCCTTGAGTTGAGTTGGAGTCAGAAGTCTGAGTTCTGCCTGTTTTGTTTCGAAGCTAGATGGATTTTCAAACCAAGTGGTCTGATTGCTTTAGAATCTGAAGGCCTTTTTGAGATCGAATGATCTTGTTGGAGTTTGTCAGAATGACTGAGTGTTGGCGTTCGCGAATCTCACGGCCTGGTGCTCCGGGCTGAGTGAATCTGCGTCAACACAGGTCGTCCTTCTTGGGTTTTGTGCGATTGGATGCGCGGGCGTGCCAGCACGGTTTGTCGTGCGTTTAAGAGTGATGTGTTTTGGATAAATGGTCAAGTGATGCGCCTGTTTGAGTTTTAACTTCTAATCAAGTGATTGTGGCCGAGAGAGGAACTGATCTCGGCCGGTAGGTTCACGGCGTGAACTACAAGGCCGTTGATGATGGTGCTGATGGTGATTTTAGGTGGTGCTCTGGCGCGTCGCTGGGTGGCGACGGTCGTATGATATATGGGGTGGATGAAAAAGTAACAAGGATGGTGCTCCGGCGCCTTGAAAATCAAGGGTCGTATAATATATTGATGAATGGATTTTTCTACAAACTGCCACTACTCCTAAGAAAACAAGTAAATGTATTGAAATGGCATTACAGGAATGTAAATGACAAGAAGTAAATGACAGAAAAATATAATCTGCTCCGTGGGAGGCTTGTGTTTGGTGTTGAACCTTTTGAATGTAGTTCGAGCTTGAACCTCTGCATGATGGGCCTGATCAGAACAAGTGGGTAATCAAATCAGCATTTGGGATCGTGAAGCATGGTGGTGTGACCCCATAAATCCCAGCCGCCGCCCTGATCGTAGGTTCTGCTTTGGCCGTGGGGACGCATTTAATGCTCTGGTCTGATGGTTGGTGGGTTTAACCTTACAAAATCGTGGGATTTTCACACCTAATCCCTGATTTTACTCACCACATCTGACTTCAATCACGTCCCCCCTTTCTTGGCTCATTAATGCTCTTACGTGGATCATGGGCTTTCTGCTGTGATCAGAGGCACTACTTCATTAAATGAAGCGTGGGGCCATGATGCCACGTGGCAATACCACTTGATTTTCCCACTTTGGCCGTGTATCTGAGGAGTTTGTTTTCGGCCAATATATACCGAGGCCGTGATGGCGTTGACTTATAAGCTCACTTATCTTCTGAATAAAGGGAGCGAACGATGACTTGGCCGTGGATAGGTGCTAGGGCCGAGTTGTTGTTCCTTCGGCCAGCCTCATTCGGTCAGCTTCCTTGGCCGAGATTTATTAGGCACAAACACTGAGAATTTTTGTTTTGATTAAATTTTGGGCTATCTCTATCATGTTCACCCCCTCATATTTATAGAGAATCTAAATGAGGTTTTATTCCTTAATATATGGAGGACAAATTATTTGAAAGGATTCCTTGTTCTAGCGCCAAAAAGGGATAGTGGTTTAGTCTGACAAAAGAAACCCCCCATCAAAAGTCAGTTTTCATGATGATCAGTTTTGATCTTCTGTCAACCAACTCTCTTATCTCTTGTTTATCTCTCGTAAACCCCACTTGCCCGTATGCAAAGCCCTCACAAGCATAGGAAAGAAACTTGGCCTTCTTTTTTGGCATTAAATGGTTATGTGGAGTGGTTTTCCGATTAAACCTTCTACCAACTCCCCATCACGTCCTCTGCTCTGTTGAAATCTTGACTTTAGAGTCACGTGAGCTTTTATAGAGAGAAAAAGATCTTCCCAAAAATTTGCTACCTTGATTTCTGGATTTGTGATCAACGGTGATGATCAGAATTTGAATTCTCTGGAAAACTTAGAGGCTGGGTTTAGATTTAAACCAATTAAATATGGTTTTTCTAGATTAAATCACCATTAGTGGTTGTATGGGTCTTTTTGTTCCAGCAGTTTGACGAATGGGCTTGGGCTGTTGTAAGAGGAAGACAAACAAAATTCCCCAGTGCCTGAGTTCAAGAACCAGGCTCCCAAAAGAGTTTTGAAAGATTTGCTGAAACCTTAGAAAACACTTTTAGGTTCTTTTCACCAATAACCAGATGAACGTAACAAATTGATAAGTGACTTGGCTTGAGGAGCTTATGGCATGGGAGCTAAGCCTTCACAAGTTTAGCAATTTGAGAGAGAGAGAGAGAGAGAGAGAGAGAGACAGGAGTGTGAACTTCTTACAGAGAGAAAAGGTTCAGAGTGAGGAAAGAGGAAAATTAGGAGGATTTCTATCTCAGAAAGGGAGAAAACAATGGAAGTAGAAGATAGGGTGTCTAGAGTAAATTTCCAGTTGCTTGACAAAGCTTGGTCGTGCTCTGGATGATCTTTTGCTAGGTAGAGAAGGCTCCCTTTTATAGGCACTTAGAACCCTAATTCTATCGATCCTCCATTCCCACTTTTCCTTTGCTTCTTTCCATTCACTCCTTTTCGGTGAAATTTCTTTAACCATAGCACATAGGTCACAGGCTCTTTGTTTGACATCCCGGGATCGGCTCCGCCGTAGCACGATATTGTCCGCTTTGGGCCCCCCTCTCTGCCCTCACGGTTTTGTTTCTGGGAGCTCACAAGCAACTTCCCAGTGGGTCACCCATCCTAGGATTGCTTTAGCCCCCAACATGACCCCGAAGCCAGTAAGCTCCCAAAAGGCCTCGTGCTAGATGGATGCAGGCATGTACATATAAGGCACATCAACCCTCTCTCCGTTGGTCAATGTGAGATCTTACAATCCACCCCCCTTAGGGGCCCGACGTCCTCGTCGGTACACTCGCACCACACGGCAGAGTGGCTCTGATACCAAGTTGTCACATCCCGGGATCGGCTCCACCGTAGCACGATATTGTCCGCTTTGGGCCCCCCTCTCTGCCCTCACGGTTTTGTTTCTGGGAGCTAACAAGCAACTTCCCAGTGGGTCACCCATCTTGGGATTGATCTAACCCTCAACTTGCTTAACTTAGGAGTTCCCATGACCCCGAAGCCAGTGAGCTCCCAAAAGGCCTCGTGCTAGATGGATGCGGGCATGTACACCTCTCTCCATTGGTTGATGTGGGATCTTACACTTTGGGGTTCCAAGGTTTTTATGCGGCTGGACCTCCTTATGGGGGTGAGGCGCCACCTGCTTTCTTCCTTGGTTTTCAAATTAGAGCTCTCAGAGGAAAAAGAGAATGGATAGAGTCATTTGTCCAATGGGTATTCCTCCTACACATATGGATTTCCTTTGGTTCCTGCAATAGCTTCTCGTTGACTGTTATGGAGCTTTGACAAGGGTGGAATACGATGCTAGATTTTTAACAAGGCGCTGGGCTGGGCTTTGTTTACAGTATCGGGTTATTGGTACTCTCTTTCTAGCGGCTTATGGGTTTTCATCAAGCTGCTGAAAGTAGTCCATTTGCTTTGTTTTGGGCATTTCAACTAACGTGGGATTTGTCTAAGTGTTGCAGCAGACTATTAGATGTTCTCCTAAGGCATTGAATCACCATTTTCCTCTCTCATGCTAACCCATGTGTTTGGGCTTGAGTTTTAGTGCTCCCAAGTGGCCTAACACTTTCATTCCTTGAACCCTCAATGGGCCCTGTGAATGCTTGTACCCGTCCATACCACAACCTTCTCAACAAGCCCTTGGTAATTACGTGGCTTGGGCCCACTTAAGCCTGTAGCACAACATGCACGTTTGCTTGGCGTGACACGTGGCTCATGGCTCATGTAGGTGCGTCCTACAAGTTCCCTTATGTCCCAATTAGGCTCCTTTTGCAATCAAATATTTGTGCTGGGCTAGAAATAAACTTGGGCCCAACCCTTGGATTTTTGGGTCTAAACAGTGTTAATTAATGTAAAACTTGTAAAACCATTTTTGCAATTTGGTTTGCAATGGTCTGGGCTTCTAAAATGATTTGGGCTGATTTCTGATGTTAATAAAGCAAAGCCCAAACTCCTTTCATTGGCGTGAGCCAATAGTCAGTTGAGCTGGCACGTGGAATTTAGACCCAAACATGTATTGCAACATAATTGTGTTTTGTTAGGACCATGCGTGTGGACGTAATGT